CCAGCTAGGGTGTTAAAGGGGCAGAACCCAACAGAGGGGTTGGAGAGCCTGCACTAGAGCTGCGGGAGTGAGGACACTTGCCCAAGGCTCTGCCATGTTCTGGGGGTGACATGTGGGAGCAAGGAGCTGAGACTCTTGGAAAGAATCATGTACCAGAGATGCTCACAGGAAGGCCAGCATACCTGTACTGTCACACAGTACACCAAGGGTAGGAAAGGAAGTCCAAGAGCAGGGCCTCCCTCCATCTCCTCTCCCTTTCTGCACTATTCCCGTGGCTGGCTGCCTGCTCACAGCTTCCTCTCTCAAACTGTCATGGTGCCCACTCTCACCCTAATTGGATATCAAAGATCTTTCAGATTTCCATAGCAAATTTTGATTCAATTTGCAAAGCCCCATCTGATTGGCCTGTGTGAGTCAGGTGATTACCCTTGGGCCAATCAGATGTATCCTGGGTCTGAAGTTGCTTCGTAGGAACATCCCCTTAGCAGAGCTTCCTGTATAAAGAGCAACTTTATTTAGAAGGAAGGGTGAGCCGGTGGAAGGTCCTATCAGGAGTCAAGGCACCTGATTTCCAGTCACAGCTATGCCTGGAACCACCTGTGTGACCTGGAGCAGGGCATATACATACCGTGGGCTCACTTTTTCTCATCTGTAAAATGGGCAAGTTGTACTACCTTATCCCCAAAGTTCCTTCCAGCTCCTGCGTACCAGTCATCCCAGTTTGGCATACGATCAGAATTTGACCTTGTTTAGGGCTCTTCTGCCCTCTTAGACCCACCCTGCCCTTCTCACCCAGGCTTTCAGACTCAGTGAGGGTCTTCTGAGGCTCTCCCACCTCCTTTACCTGCCTGCATCAGCCAGAAATCAAAGATGTTCTTTATGAATTTTTGTTTGTTTTGTTTTGTTGTATTTCATTTTGTTTGCTTCAGGGTCTTTCTATGTGGCCCAGGTTGGCCTTGAATTGGTGGTCTTCCTGCCTTCACCCTCCAAGTGCTGGGATTACAGGTGTGCACCACTATGCCCAGCTTCTTTTTGAACTATAAGAGGTTCAATTGTTCAAATTTATGGTGGAGAGATTCCCTGACTATTTACACTCTTTCTAATATCATTCACTTAAATAGCACTCACATCACCCTTCCCGTTATTCATTTCTGGAATAAGTATCATGACTGTTTATTTGCTTAATCTTGCCATGTACCTGGCCCAGCAAGAAGCATTACTTTTTTTCATGCCTTATCTTGCATGATTCCTCCTCACAATCACCCTAGGAGGTAGTGCTAATAATAGCTCCATTTTGCAGATGAGGAAACTGAGACCAAAAGAAGTTTTACAGCATATGTAGGTCTCCCAGTGGAATGATCTAGATTCAAAGTTAGGGTGTCCAACTCAGAGTTCATGCTCTGGGCACCAACATGCACTGCCCACAGGGTACCTGAAAACCCAGCTGCTCCTGGCCCAGTAGAAACTCTGCTCATGTGGAGGCTGCACACCTGTGTGCACATCTGTGCATTGCTATGAAGAGCAGCTGATGCTCGAAGAAGCCCCTGATGTGTGTGCTGACAGGTTGCCCCTACTTTGTGATCACTCCAGTGGAGCATGGCGCCACCAGGACCCAAACTACAGGAAGTCAACATTCTTTTCTCTCTGATAGTTTGATAGTTTGCCCCTCTAAAGTGTATGCATGGCTCTTTGCCAGGGCTGTTTAAAACCTCTCCTAAGTTATGCAGAAATTGAATATGTTTTCACTGCAGGGCATGAAGTGTAATCCAGGAAGGTCAGGAAGGGGAATTCTCCCGCCACTGGCTGCTGGGTCTTGCTCTTAAATCCTCTGATTTGATGCTCAATGAGCCTTCTCCCTGGACCACAAGGTACAGATGAGTGAAATGTCCTCGTCTCCCTGAGGCAGGGGCTGGAGAACTGACATCTTACAGGTGCCATCCCTCTCCTCTGTGTGCCACCTCTGTGGGGTTCATCTGCCATGAGAGGCTCTGACATCCTTCTGCATCTGTCTCTTCTTGTTATGGGGACCATGGCCTGGGCATTTTGTTCTGGATTGGGAGGGGCTGGCCTGGCATTCATGTGGACTGGCGGGGATGGGCAGAGAGAGCTGTGATCCCAGAAGGATCTTCTGTAAGTCAGTGCCACCATGGCAGGCAGCAGGTCAAGGGCCTGAGGAACTTGGTCTCCAGGGCTGTGTATTATATTTGCAGATGTCTGTGCCTTTTAGGCTCCTGGCAGGGAAATTTTATCTTAAATGATTCCAATAAAGACATGACTGTGAGAAGCCAGCACAGAAAAAGGAAGCATGTTAGTCAGCTCTCCATGGCTGTGACAAAAGGCCTGAGAAAATCAACTTACAAGGAACTAAGGTTTGTTTTGCCTCGTGGACAGGTGGCTCTGTTTCTTTGGGCCTGTGGCAGCATAGTACATCATGGTGGGAGCCATGGCATAGCAAAACTACTTACCTCATGGCAGCCAGAAAGCAGAAATAGAGAGAGGAAGTGAGCAGGCTCCCAATATCCCCTGCAAGGGAAAGCCCTGACCACCTCACTTCCTGCCCTGCCTTCTAAAGATTCTCAATAGCTCCACTGGCTGGTGACCGGACCCTAACACATGGCTGGGGGACATTTAAAATCCAAACCATGGCAAGTAGGCAGGGTTGGAGGAAAATATAGCATATTGAGTGAGGTATGCATGGGTTAGTAAGAAAAGGAAGCCCTCACTACCCTTGAGTCTAATGGGAAGAGGAGGAAACGGTGTTACTAGAGTCCCCTGAAAGCTGAGGCCAGGGATGGGGGACTGCTGGTGGAGAGACAGACAGAGTGGGGAAGCCACACCCTAGACTTTCTCCTCTTGCCCTGTTTCCTCCCCATGCCATCCATGAAACACTGGCATTTGGGGAAAACACGACAGCAGATCCAGAGAACAGAAAAATTAAGAAAGCAACCCAAAGACACATGGCATGGGTGTCGAGGCCTGAAGCCACTCTGCCCTTTGCCAGCTTGCTCTCTTCTGGAGGGAAAGAGCATCTTTTCCAAGCAGCCAAGCGGGGCAGGGCAGACCTCGCAAAGGAAAAGCAACATTCAGGGAGCCAGAGGTACTGGGGAGCCTGCTGAGTTCAGGAGGCACAGTATAAGTGCGTGCGACCTGTGTTCTGTGCAGAGGGACTGAGGAGCCATAGTGAGCAGGACAGGCTCATGCTCCACGCTCCCGATACACAGGATGACGGAAAGACAGGCAGGCTGCACGCCTGGCCATTCAGCCTGGCACCTGCCTGCTGAGCAACTCAGCAGACTCAGGAAGGAACTGTGGCAGCTCCATGGCTGTGTGCTCTGGAAGCCCTTTCCAGCCGAGGCTGATGCCCAAAGGCGGAAACCACTCAGGGAGTGGCATGGTACCATGGCAGCACGGAGAGCAGGCAGAGACGTGGATGCCTCCTTGAGCAGAGCCCTGTAGAGACTTCCATGCCCACAGTGTGACTCAGAGTCACATGGAAGAGTAGGGAAAGCACGGGTGCAGGTTTTAGAGAGGCCTTCGTGAGCTGAAGAGCATGCACTTAGAATTAGCAGCGCTTGGATTCTACCTCTGCCTGGCTTTGGGACTTTGGTCAAGTTACTTAACCTATGCCAACTTTCCCTTCCTTCTTTTTTTTTTTGTAACTGAGATTGAACCCAGGGCCTTCGCACTGAGCTGTATCCTCCGTCCCTTTTTAATTATGAGACAGTCCTGCTAAGTTGCCCAGTTGCTGGATTTGAACTAGGACCCTCCTGCCTCAGCCGCCCATCGTACTGGGGCGTGTGTCATCTTGTCTGGCTCAACTTCCTTTTCTGAGGAAGGGTGATAGCTGCCACCCAGAAAGCTGCTTGTTACGGAGCTGACAGGTGCAGCCCGTACATAGCACAGGGCGTGGCACAGAGCATCCGCTGATGGCTGTCACTTTTGTCTCTGTGAGGAGCCTTATGAGGTTGGCTTTCCTTGGATGTGTCTGGAGCGCCCTGAATTATGGGTAAATGTGCTCTGCCAACATTTAGCAGGCATGGCATCCACAGCCGGCCGTGTGGTGGGTGCGGTGGAGTTGTGAAGGGAAGGTTGAGCAGGAAATGTGAACCGGCCCTCAGTATACGGTGAGCTAAAAGCTGTCAGAGATCCGCGTGTGTACCTGAAGGGTGTTTGCTGAGCACCCGGCACGTGCCAGGCAAGGTGGCAGTGTGACTTCCATGGAGTGGTATGCTGTGAGGGAAAGCGGGCACTGGCCTGGTGGGAGCTCGGGTGGTAAGATGAACTGGGTGCCTGGGTCCCGCATGTGGGTGTGGCAGTGATAGGGACCTGGGGGCACTGACCTGTCCAAGGGTTCTGGAAACCTTCCTGAGGATGTGGCCTTTAACTGGAGACTCCAAGTCTGAAGGAACAGGGGCCTATGCCCACTACAGAGGAGGGGCAGCCATGAGAGGCTCTTGGGAGGTGGGGACATGTGAGTTTCAGATGGATTCCCTAGGATGGCCGATGCAAAGGCCCAGGAATGGCACATGGGTGCCCCTCCCCTGGCAAAGACAGCACACGTGGTGCGCAAAGGAGCCTCCTGCCAGGCACCTGGAGCACACACCTCCCGGCCCTGCCCTTGAAATCTCCCTGACACAAAATTCCCAGTTGGGGTCCCGTGCATCCCAGGCCTGCGGCTTGGGCAGCCAAGGGGCACTCAATAGAGGAAGCGAAATGACCACGAAATGGGTTTGGGGACTGAAAGGCCCCTCATCCAGGTCTCCGAGATGAGCAGATCATCTGTGGAACCAGTGCTCTTACAGCCACCAGGAGGCCATCAAAGGAAGGAGAAAAGATGGATACTGCATTTTAAACTGCTCTGAACCGTCTTGGAATGAAAATGACGGGGCCTGGGGTCTGGTTGGCTGGAGGGACGCCGTTACTGGGCTTTGGGGATCGTCGCTGTGCAGGCAGCTGCTCCGGGCTCCTGCTCACCCTTGATTTGCTTTGCTTTCACCCAGAACACTCCAGTGGGGACGCCCATCTTCATCGTGAACGCCACAGATCCTGATCTAGGCGCGGGCGGCAGCGTCCTCTACTCCTTCCAGCCCCCCTCCCAATTCTTCGCCATCGACAGTGCCCGTGGCATTGTCACTGTGATCCGGGAGCTGGACTACGAGACCACGCAGGCCTACCAGCTCACCGTCAATGCCACGGTGAGTCACATGCGGGGCCCCGGACCCCATGTCTGCCTCTTCCAGCCCAGTTGCACAGAATGAGGGGAGTCACAGTGACAGCTGTTGTCAGAGTCCATGTGGTGTTTCTGGCACTGTGCTGTGTTCATGTGGACTGTCACCATTAAACCTCAGCCAGCCCCACAACATGATGACCATTCTCCAGAGGAGAACACTAAGGCATGGGGGTGCATCAGACTCACCCGTGGTTACCTGGTCCAGAGCAACACTGTCACCTCCTTAGAATATGCAGAGGGAATAGTGTCCTCTTTCTCCTGAGACACAAAGCAGAGGCATGAGCCAAGCTGTGTCCTGCTGCAGGAGTCTGAGGGGTCCCAGCATCCTGGCCACAGCTCTGTGTAATGATGATGATTCTAGAGGGGCCATCCATCTGTGTGTAGCATCCTGATAGCCTCTGAAATTGTGGGAAGAGTTGGTCCAGGGCAGGAGAGATGACATCGAGGCCCACATTGCTGATGGGGGGAGAGGAGAGTAAGAACCCCACCCAGGTCTGCTGACTCCCAGTCCTGTGCCAGGAGCCCAGTCTACAGAACACACAGCTGGGCCTGGGTTGCCAGCTTCTGTCGAGACCCTGAGAGATGGGCAAGCCACTTCCCTTTTCCCTGCTCTTGCTACTGCCTTGGGACACCGCTGGCACTATCAGCTGGTAGCAGGTCAAGAGGCTGGGCTGTCCTCTTCTGGACTTCCGTTTGCAAGACTCACGCCAAGAGCAAACAGGAATCCCCTTCAACCCCAGGACCCACCATCCTGGCCCCCAGCATTCACCCTAGCTCTGTGGAGCTACAGTGGAGGCTGCCAGTGATGTGGGACCTTGTGGCAGCTCACAGATCCCTAACCCTAAGCACTGGATCTGGACTGGCCAAGGGTCTGATTTTGAAAGATGGGGTTCCCCAGGCACAGCCAGAACACCAGAAGCCCCAGAACCAAGAAATGAAAACTGCTCCCCTGACCCTGTCCCACTGGCCCCTGGGGAGATCCCTGCAGAGGACACTCCCATCCTTCCCCTCCCACAAGACCTGTGTGCTGCTGTTTGTGAAGTTGACCTCTGGGTTCAAGTTGCTTTCTGTTCACCCCCATGTAGCCTTCTACAGACTCCACACTGCAAAGTGTGGGGTTCCATGTACCCACACCTGGCCTCAGAACACACACCTGCTTGCCCTCTTTCTCCGTGAACCAGTTGCTTAGGAATAATTTCCATCCACTATACAAATGACTTTGGGACTCAGGAATAGACCAGAGCCAGGCACAGGCAGGCTTGTGGGTGGCCGGGCCACGGAGAGGCCTGTGCTCAAGCTGGTGTGATGAATACAGTTAAATTACTGTTAATCTCCTGGCAATCAGGCCTTGAAGCAGCAAGCAGGAGGGGCCCTAGAGCCCAGTGGTAGATGGCCTTGCACTTGCTCCTCCAGAAGCTGACACCAGCAGTCCTTCTGTGCTGCTGCTGTGCCCTTGGCTGCTGGGTCACGGCTGGAGCCTGGCATTATGACTGCTCACATGGGGTCCAAGGAGGGCTGGACCAGTCCTCGATGGCAGGAACAGGACTGCAGCCACAATTGTGGGATGAGGACAGCAGGCACTAGGCTGCACAACAGCCAGCTGCCCATGGCTGGCAGTGGCAAGTCAGACCTACTGGCACCTCGTGCCCATGAGGTCAGGGGCTTGGATTCCCCGCTGTGGCCTGTGGACCCGGCTGAGCCCTCCTGCTTCCGTTCTCTCCGCTCCCTCACTCCTATCCCTGAAGCCCCCTTCCTGTGCCCCCCTGAGGACTCTCACCTCCCAGGCGACAAGGGCCCAACCCAGGCTTCTTGTCACACCTTGTGTTGCTCCAGAGGTCCCAGGAATCTAACCTAGGTACAGTCACTCTCACATCCCGAGATGTAGATCACAGAGAGAAAGAGAGAAATGAGGGGACTCGGGGGCAAAGAACTTCTTGGATGAGAACAGACAAGCAGAGCCTGAGCTGGAGTTAGGGTCCCAACTCAAGACTGCTAAAGGTCAATTTTTTTGCCAGAGTTTGAGTGCTGGCTACGCCTTCACCACCTGTATGACTAGACAGGTCACTTCCCCTTTTTTGATCTCTGTCACTCCTCTGGACAGTGAGCCCTTAGTATCTACCCATGCATGTACAGTGCCTGACCGGAGGGAATTTGTGTGCAGCACTGTGGTTGCTGTCACTGTGGGCTTTTGAGACGAAGTAGCAGTGGGCCACTTCACCAGAGTCAGCTGTGTGTTTAGGGAACTAGAACATAGATTTAAGGTCTCCTTTCTTGGTGAGCTTTTATAGGACTGCATTTCCAACTAACTCTGATGGTTGACATGTTGCCTGTCTGGCCACAGCCACAGTGGGTGGCCTGCATGACCTCCCAGGAGTCCTTCCTAGAGGTCCCCAGATGTCCTAGGCCCTGGAGCTCCCCCTGCTGTTCAACCAGAGAAGTCATTTGCCCCATGAGTTCAGAACCTAAATCAGGCACGCGGGTCCCAGGTATTCCTCTGTAGCCAAAGGCTTTCTTCTGAGGAGTTCCAATCCTGGCCAGTCTCCTGCTATCTTGGAAGGGGAGGAGGAGGTAGGTACAAAAGGGGCTGTGTCCTGGAACTGAACACAGCAGAGGAGCTGAGGACAGGGCCGTCTCTACCCCAAGCCATTGATCTCACACACTGGACACCCGGGAAGCCAATCCTGGGCCAAGCTGGGGCCAAGATATCTGCCTCTACCTGAACTATTTTTGGGAGAGGAGAAGCCACTATTCTCCGGAATTTGGGGACTCTGATTGTTTTCCTACCCAGCTCAAAGGTCACTGAAAGCTCTTGGTATTCCTGAGCCTCCTCATAGTAAGTGCTTCCCTGCAGGATACGTGTGTGTGTGTGTGTGTGTGTGTGTGTGTGTGTGTGTGTGTGTGTGTGTGTGTTGTTGTTGTATGTAGATCTGTGCACATGTGTATCACTTACTGCGGGTCTGTGCATATGCACGTGTGCACTCATGTGTGAGCATGCCCTCAGCATTGCTCAACTTAAAGCCATGTATCTCTTTGTCCTCTAAGGATCAAGATAAGACCAGGCCTCTGTCCACCCTGGCCAACTTGGCTATCATCATCACAGACATCCAGGACATGGACCCCATTTTCATCAACCTGCCTTATAGCACCAACATCTACGAACATTCTCCTCCGGTAAGAACCTCCCTGATGTCCTGTGGTGGGGTGGACTGCTCCCGGGGTTACCTGACTCCCAGTCCCTATGTTGGCAATAATGCATATCCTGGATGTGGAAACCTCAGGCCCCTCCCACAAGGCACCGCATCTCCCCTTGTCACCATCCCTGGAGAGCTCCAAGAGGCAAAGAACATGTCTTAGTTACTTTTCTCTCATTGCTAAGACAAATTACCCAAACTCTTTTAACTCAAAGTTTAAAACAGGAAGATTTATTTAGCTCACGGTTTGTAGAGGTTTCAGTCCATAATAGCTGACTCCAAGGCAGGGTGGCTTGATGGAGAGGGGCATCACAGAGGAGAAACAGTCCATGGCAGGCAGACGGTAGTGAAGCAAGCAACTAAGGGGCTATCACAGCTTTCTGCACCTTTTATATTCTAGCTAGGCTACCTGGTTTTGCGGTGAAGGTGCCAAACCAATCAGTGGACTAGTTCAATTATCACATACCTTTAATCCTGCATCACACAGTCTACATCCAGCCATGACTGCATGAGGCTTTGGAGGGACATCTAGACACAGTCATAACAGAACCCAAATGAACTGGGGAACTAAGGGTGGGGGAGGGATTCAGAAAGGTTTCTGTGGAGTGATGGGGACCCACACAGAACATACAGCTGGTGCTAAAGAACTGATTTGAACCCAGATCAGTTAACCAACTGTTCGGCTCGGCCATGGTCCCACAGGCCGGTGTGCCTCTCTGGACATCAGCACCACCCCCACGATAGCAGCAGCTGGCAGCAGTTTGCCCTCTGCTCCAAGAGCCCTCTCAGCCTGGGCTCTTCCCAGAGCTTACACTGCCAGCTGCCTCCCTAATGGCTCCGTTCTTGAGTTTCTCAAGTTCTCAGGTTTGCAAGAGACTCCTGATTTTGTGCCATGTTACAAACCATCAGGCACCAGCCAGCCACTGCTGGCTCTGCAGTGGCCATGCTGGGATGGCTCCACAAAGCTGCAGCCAGCTGGGCAAGGGTGAGCATCCCTCGTCTGGCAGCTTCTGCCTCCTTTGTGCAAACCTGATGGAAAGACTTTGTGCAAAGCCTGCTACAGGCTGATGAGTGAGAAGCTGGCTCCTGTAGGCAGATACCACCCCTGGACATGTGCTTGGTGGGCAGCCTTTGCAATGCTGGTTGCTTGGGGAGAAGGACTCAGCACCTTGAGAGTAAAGCAGGACACCCACTGGAGGCTGGGGTGCTCAGGGCTCATCTGTATGTCTGCACAGGCTCAGCTTCAAGGATAAGGGGAGGCTGGCTTCCCATGACTGGGAGCAAACCATGTTCTTAGATCAGTGTGGGCCAGGAAGCCAACCCCCGGCTTGGGCCCTGTGACTGTCACAACCACTGGATTGGATTCAGGCTCCAGAAGCTGGCATTTGACCCCTTTCTTCCCTGGGCCAGTTGTGGCATGGTGGTGTGGCCTCTGACAAGGCAGATGCTTTCCAACTTCTCCTGCAGGTGCTGAAAGCTGCTTGGGGAGCAAAGGGCACATCTCAGGGGCCCCACTCTCGGCTTTCTCTTTTTTGGTGTTCTGTGCACAAGGGGAGCCCCAGCTTTTGAGACAGAAGGCCGTCCCTGTCTGCCCATCTCATCTTCCGGAACCTCCCGGGAGGCCTCTTTCTTTGCTGGCCACCCCAGCTTTGCCAGGCCCCAGTCAGACCTGCCTGCTGTTCTCAGATGGGGAGAGCCCACTCTCTGCCCCCTGCCTTCTCCTCTGAGTACTCTGGGTGAGCCTCTAACCCAGCATGGCTGCCCTGCCCGACGAGGGAAACAGTTCAGCCGGCATGGCTGGGCCTGCCCTGGGTGGATGCGGTGGGATTCAGGAAAGACCTATGCAACGGCTGAAAGAGGAAGCAAGCATACGTCCTGCCATGGCCCTCTTGTCACCCCTCGCATCTGCTCTCGTCACCAATTTCAGGTCCACCTATCCACCAGTTCCCAGCTCACTCATCACCTTTTTGGGGGATTATTTTCTTGGCTTCTTTCTCAGTAGTGACAGCAATAGCCACTGGTAGAACTGACTGTGGTCTAACTATACTGGCTGATTTACGACTGGCTTAATGCTCTCACTTGTGATGGTCCCCTGGGTACACAGGTTACTGTCAAGCTGGGGTTGTCCAGGTACCTTGGGATCTGGGACACTGTGTCAAGTTTTCTTTGCATCCCCCAGAGTATTGTACCAGGGTGGGGTGGAGAGATGCCCAGAGCCAACTTGCTTTGTGGCCAGGGGATGATGGTGGCCTGGCCACCGGAAGTACTCAGAAACCCTGCAGTGCCACTTCCTTCCCCCGGCCCACCTGACCCTGAGCCACTCCACATGGGAAAAGCAGAGCTGACAATATGTGCAAGACCCCCTTCCTTTGGGGATTCCAGGGTTGGGGGTAGTGTGTGTAAACCACCCAGCCAGCGCAGGCAGTTGGCAGACATCAGACCGAGCAGTCAGTGACGTGGTTGGGTGGTCACTGGTCAGTTACGGTGCTCAGGTCAGTTTGGCTTCCTGGTCGCAGCTTCCTGTCAGGGTAAGATGGGAAGAACACCTGTCTGTCCAGCTGGGCTTCCTCTGAGACCCTTCGGTTCCTGCCTCCTCCTGTGTCCCTCCATCCTGGCAGGGCAATATCATCTAAATTATTACAGCGTTCCCTCTCTGCCCTGTCGGTCTCCGAGTCTGTGCTGCAGAAAGTACACTACTCCACTCTTTACTTACTTGCCTGTCGTTGAGCAGCCCTGCCAGTGTGCAGGGCACTGGGCAGGCTGCCCCATTTCCAGATGTGTCCACAGGCTTCTGCGAGGCCACCCCCAGCTCAGCAAGCTGGACTTTACCACCTTCAGCCCTGCCGTCCTTCCTCTGTTTCTTAGCATCTGATACGATTGTCTTCTCTAAGCACCAGGGACCTTAGTATCCTTTTGCTTGGCTAGAGTTGTCCCTTTTTCCCTGCCAGGCCAAGGCCTGGGGTGCTGGGGTGCTGGGGTCCTTCCCCATGAGTCATGACTGGGTAGGGAGAGGCAGACAAGGCAGTAAGTGGTGGTTTCAGCCTCTCTGGGGCTCTGGCGAGGCTCCCCCAGCACACACAGGCTCGCAAGGTCCCTGCTCACCTCTGCCTCTCCTCTCCGCACTAGGAAGGAGCTAGTTCCCGTCTGCACAGCTTTTCTCCTCCAGCCCGGTTCCACCACCCTCTAGGTTGGATTGCCGCACTTTCTAGTTGGTTTCCGTGCCTCCATCGGGGCTTTCCTGTCCCTAAACAGCGTGGAGCTCTGATTTGATGCAGTCTTTCCCAGCAGGGCCAAGGCTGAGACATATCCGGCCGGTTAAGCCTCCTGAGCAGAGAGCCAGGTGTCCCCCACTCCTGGCTTGGCCCCCACTGCTGCTGGGGCCTCCAACCAGACCCTTCCTCACTCTGCCTTGCTCCCCCTCTTTATCTGCGGCTCCCAGCATGTATGTCTCCCTCTATCAGTGTATCAGGCTGGCATGCCTCATCTAAAGTGTATATATTACCTAATAAAATCCTTCTTATTTGGGATTATTGCATCAAATTTTAATTTCCTCACTCGAGCAGCAGCATGTCGGCCTGCCCGTCAGTGAAGGGCCGATAGAAGGTGAAAAGAGCGAATAAACTGCACAAATTACTGCCAGCCGATGCCTATCAGCCCTTTGACTGGAATTGACTGGAATTAAGGACTGAGAAATAGGATTTTCTGCCTCAGAATCTGCTGTGGCAGCTCCAGTAGCCGAGGTTCCAGCAGCAGCTCAGCCTCCAGCTCCTCCCACCGAGGGCGCCTCCCACTCCCAAAGCCTGTCACCTTTCAAGTCCTTAATCCTTCCAAGGAAATGGGGGGGGGGGGGCTTCCGGATGAGCTGGCAGGAAAGGAGGTGGACCTCAGCCCCGGAAACCAGGCATAGCTCAGGCTGGCCCCTGCGGTAGCCACTGTCCTGGTGAGGGATTCTTTAGCTTTGCTTTTTTGTTGTGTATGTTTGTGGGGTGGATTTTGTTTTGGTTTGATTTGGTTTAGTTTGGTTTTTCTGAGACAGGATCTTGGTATGTATTGAACTCATCGTGTAGCCCATGTTGGCCTCAAATTCACAGCAATCTTCCTGCCTCAGCCTTCTCTGAGTTCTGGGATCACAGACATGTGCCGCCACACCTGGCTGAAGGCTTCTTTGGAAGGGGACAGTCACAAAAGGGACAGGCATGATCCCCTCTAGAGAAGTGCCAGTTTCTGCCAGCACTTCCCACTCCTATCTGGGCATAGTGACTAAAGTCTAAAGTCATGGACCCTCTTACCTCTGCCAGAGAGCAATGGGGCCACCAGGCCGACCCCAGCAAGGCCTTTTCTTCCCCAGTTGCCTCACCCTCCCTGTGAACCTTGTGACTGGAACCCTTGCACCTCAGTTTCTTGTGTACCCTACAGCAAGAGCAAGAGAAGAACCTCTGTCTACCCCTACACTTCCAGTCTGTGAGTGTTAGGTGCTTGGCTACAGCTGCTGTGTCCCTGCCAGCTTCCAGCTGCCACCCTAAGGCAGCTCAAGGGTGGAGACAGTTCATGGGACACTGGGGGCTCTGAAATGCCAGGACTCCTTGGAAATGTCCTGTGTGTGTGACCTGGGTTTGATGAGAGGCATACAGTGATTCCAGCTCCGTCTATAGGAACGAGCCCTCTTATCACATTTGCTGTGTGTGACCCTTAGATACATGCCAGCTGCTTAGGAGCAGGGACCATTACACCATTGTCTCGACAGGAAATGGGGCAGCTCAGAGGTTTCAGACACAAGCAGTCCATCTGGCACAGCTGGGCCGTTAGCTGCCTTCGAAGCAGTGGGGACCATGAGCCTGCACACCTGTCCTCTCCTGTTCCTCAGGAGGCCTCCTGCTCTGGGCCCCCCAACTGGACCTGGGCCTGCCCACCGGCTCTCCCAGCCACAGCCCAGCAGCAGCGCCCCAGAAAGCTGCCCTGTCCCAGGCAGGGTGCCTCCTAGCAGGCCAGCAAGGCTGCCCTGCCTCATTCCTGCCTCTTTGGAAATAAGTTGCAGTATATTGAAAATGTAATCACCGAAACTCTGAAACAAGAGCCCTGGACTCCCCAGAGCCCCCGTGCCTCCCTGTTAATTCCTTCTCATAACATTTCTAGTCTTTCTGTCTGCACTTGTATTAAAAGATCAGGATTTTATTAAAAGTGGATTTATTTGCCCAAAAAGAGATGAAACCCAAACCTTGTCAGGAGCCTAACAGAGCTTGTGCATGACTCCGGCTAGGGTAGGAGCGGCCTGGGTTTCTTGTCTGCACAGCCAGCCCCGCCCACCCAGGGGGACCTTGGCTGCCCAGAGGGCAGGGCGCACAGGGTTCTAGGATCCAGGGTGCTTTGACACCAGGTCCCCTGTGTACACAGAACTGGGCCAGGGGCCACTAGCAGGCGACATGGAAGGAAGTTCCATCTTCAAGAGCCAGTCTGGGAGAGCTGAGGTGATCCTGAGCTCTGACTTCACCCCAGCATCCCACAGCTCCGGGAGGGCTGGGTGTGCAGCGTATCCCAGACTCAGGGCATCATGCTCACCGAGGGCTCAGGCTCATTCCTTGCACAGAGCAACGACCCTCCTAAGTGATGTCATCACTATTGCAGCAACCAATCCAGAGGCAGCGTTCCCTGACAGCGAGAGCCTTTAACCCAGGGCACCTGAATGTGAATCCTGGCTTCACCCTTTGCTCCTCACCACAGGAGCAAGTGTGCCTCAGCATCCCCACCTGCACAGTAAAACATGTGGTGTGGCTGTTATGAGGGTGAAGAGAGCAAATCCACAGAAAGCACATGCCAAGCACCATGAGAGTACCTGAGAGAGGATGGTGCCAGTGCTGCTGGCCTTCATCATTTCTGTATCTGCCCCAAGGCACGCCTGTTCCAGGGCCCCTTTCTAAGGCTTCATCATGGAGTTTTGCTGGACATGGCAGGTACACCTGTAATCACAGCATTCTGGGAGGCTGAGGCAGAAGAGCAACTTAGTAACTTAGTGAGCCCTATCTCAAAATAAAAGATGTAAAAAGAGTTGGAGATGTACTCAGTGCAAAGGCCCTGGGGTTCTGTCTTCAGTACCCAGTACCACAACAAAAACAAATAAAAACCAGACTGCTTCCACCAAGGCATCTAGTTAGAACTTTGGTCCCCCAGAGTTCTGGCAAGGGGCTGGAGGAAGGACTGGACCTGCTGTGCACAGCCTGGCTCTGGATTGTTCCCCTCTCTCTATGGAGACTCCTCACCCTCCTGGAGCATTCTCACCCTCCCTCATAAAGCCTCGGGGTGGACAGGAGAGGCAGGAGTGACCACTGTGAAGGGCAGCATGCTGGAGAGGTGAGGGAATCCTGCTGTCCCAGAGCAGGACCAGAAGCAGTCAGAAGGGTGCTGCCTGCCCCCATGGCACAAAACCCACATGTCAGAGCTGGACATGGTGGCACACACAAGGAGTCCCGGCACTAGGGAGGCTGAGGCAGGAGGATCACCATGAGTGAGAGGCCACCCTGGGCTAGATAGTAAGTTCAAAGCATAGTGAGACTTTGTCTCAACAAAACCAAAGAAACATCCATCAGAGGCCCTTTGAATGGGTCCTGACCTAAGGGTCAGGACTTCTTCCTTGGAAAAATCCACACTGCCAAGCTCTGGTGTGTGCTACCTTTTTTCCCTAGAGAACCTTCTTTGCATTTCTCTCCCTGGTAGACTCCTACTCATCCTTCACAGCACATCCTAAACACAGCCATCTGTATACCGCTTTGCAGCTCCTCAGGGCAGACATCTGGGCTTTCCTGTGCTTTTTCCCCTGAGCATCAAGTGTGTACAGAAGCTGTCTGCACCTATGTGGTTGACTCCTCCACACAGACTGCTCCCCAGGAGTGGAGGCCCCCCATCCCCAGCCTGGTCACCCTGGCTCCTGGTCCTTCCGCACTGTACTACAAGAGAATGGAGGAGGCAGGGCCACTGGAGGAGGAGCTGCAGGTTTGATGCTGTGTGGGGCCTGGAGCAGGGTAATGGCGACTCCAGGGTTGCCTGTGACCCCTGAAGATCCATGCCTGTGGGACTTATGCCACCTCACCCATAGGATGATTGTCTTTCTCTACTCAGATCCCAGTGAAAACAAAGTTCCACCTTATTCATATTAAGGAGGGCAAATGAGGCCAGAGAGAGGTAGCACCTGTCCTGAGGTCACACAGCAGTCATGAGTGGCTGTGACGGAGACCAGACCTCTTCCCACTGCCAGCTTCTCCACCGGTTCCTCTCCCCTGGGTGATTTGTGTGAACAAGGGAGGCCAGGAAGGGCAGGGGCAGAGCTGGCATCTGAAAAGCTGGGGCTGTTTTCTGGGGCCCACCAGAGGCCCTTGGTGAATGTGCCCGGAACAGAGGGGCAGCTGAGGCCGGTGCACATGGTGCCTGCCTCTTTGGCTGGCTGGTCTGCCTGGAGAGGGAAGTGGTGGCTGCTGGGACAGTGACAAAGAAAGGCAGCAGTCTGGGATCCAAGCAAACTGACTCAAGTCCCTCCTCTGTCCCACCCAGGGCACGACCGTGCGCGTGATCACTGCCGTGGACCAGGATAAGGGGCGGCCCCGCGGGATCGGCTACACCATTGTTTCAGGTAAGGAGAGGCCGGCCTGACTCAGCCGCCAGCCCCAGAGGAGCTGCTATTGGGATCTCAGGCTCAAAGGACCCAGAAAGGGAACCAAAGGAGAGGAGCAGGGGAAAGGGGGCTGTCAGAGCCAGCCAAGGCGGAAGCTTTGGGCTCTGAGCCTGGGATATGGTGGCACCCATCCAGGCTCCTTCAGGACTCTGGGATTTTCTGTTCTAATTTGATTTAAAGGTGGCAATATTTACATCCTGCTGGATCAAATAGAGCTGCGACTTCTGGCGAGTTCATGTTCTTCCCATTTCCAGCCATTACAAATTCATATCTCATCTGCAATGTCTTGGGAGGGCATCTCTCCACCCAGAGCGCTTGGCTGGCAAAACACTGGCTACAAACCTTTTGGGTGGTGCCACCCACACCCAGGTTGGGCCACCTCATTATCCAGTGAGAGCTATGCTAAACCGATCAGCAGACTAATTTAGTTATCACACACCCTAGGTCCAACCACCTCTGAACAGCAGCCCTGTGAGCACATGAGGCTTTAGGGGGACATCTAAATATGAGCCATAACATGTGCTGAGCAAGAAGTAGAAGATGGGACCTCCCGAGTCTCTGTGCCTCAGTTTGTCATCCATAAATTTGGAAGGACGAGGGGTAGTTTAAGGGTCAGATGACCTAGTACATGCAAAGAGCTGAATGAATGTATGTAAAGGACTTTATTGTAAGTGATAACTTCTTATAAGCAGTTAATAACGTCTGGAGAAGCTAGACATTACCTGGTTAGCTAAGGGTTAGCTGGAGTAGTTGGCGGGAAGGAACAGCACACCCTTGGGATCACAGGAAATCAGGCTCTCGTGGTACCCTGAACCTGCAGCTGTTGGCATGATAATTTATTACATCCCTGAGCCCAGAGCAAATGCAGCCTGGGCCGTGAGGGTCAGCAGGAGCATGGATCAGGGGCTCTGCTCCCCCTTTCCCTATTCTAGTGTCCCTGCATGGAGTGAACCCTAACGTGTCCTTGTGGAGTAAAAGAATGAGTAATATCACTGTAACAGAGTGAGTTCTCAAGCCCCAGTGCACCCCAGAATTGTCTGGGGCTCCCATTAGAAGTGTAGAGTCCTTGGTGCCTGTGGAAACTCTGGCCCTGAGGGGCTGAGTGGACCCAGGAGAGGTTCTGTCTCACAGCTCCCAGCAGCTCTGTGTGGGTGGCTGCCTGGCCAAGATGTGGGGGAGCCAGTCCCTGGAAGGAAGCCATCCCTTGGGAAGGCAGGGTCCCCCGTTGAACTGGAAGCCCTCCCGAGGTGGGCAGAATAGGGGCCGGCCTCTAAGGACTCAGCTCCTTCTGTGAATTGGGAAGCAAAACCATTGTCCCTGGTGACAAGGGTGCTGTGCTGAGATCTAGGAACACCAGCAAACCCCACAGGCAATGGAGTTGGGCCACGACTAAGTGGGTGCATGAGGAGGACCTTGGTCTAGGAAAGAGAGTGTCTGCTTGAGTTCTCAGTGCTCCTGGGCAGACTTCAGACATCTCCCAGCTTGGCGGGGGCCTGCCTAGAATGGGATCTCCTCCAGTAACATCAGGAGCTGGCCCTCCAGGGTAGTGTGTGCTGGGTGCCAGGTCCCCAGCCCAGACCCTTTGCCCTCTCCAGCCTTCAAAGACGGCCCAGCCCTTGATCCCCCACTCTTGGAGCAGGAGGGCAGAGGGCTGGGCTGCTGAGCCCTGTGTAGGACTCTGGAGCTTGGAATAGTGGACAGCAGCCTATGACAGTATCTTAAGCAGCTCCCTGGGATATCATCCCCCAGGACCACATTTCCAGGTGCAAACCAGAGGGTGAGTAGAGACCAGAATGGGAAACCACACAAAGGAGAAGCATGTGGAGCATACAGCAGGAGGCAGAAACTTCTAGAAAGCAAGAGCACTTAGCGTAGCTTTATAAGATCCCCACTGCCAGCATGGATGTGCCTTGAGTGCCTTTGGAAAGGTTGACAAATGGGTTCAGTCTCACACCAGCTTTGATTGATTGGTAATGGTTGCCAGAGAGGATCCTGAAGCCAAACAGGCTTGGTGCAGTATTCAGTTGGTAGAGTCTGCAGTGGGCGTGGAAGGGATGAAACCACCTAGGACAGACAGTTGCTATTCTAGGTGGGTCAGTTTGGATCTCGGTTGTGGGGTGGCCCTGATTCTTGGTTTTATGGGTCTTTATCCCTCCTATGACAGTGGACAGTTTGGGGAAAGGGTGATCCCTTTTCTTCCCTGCCCTCCCTGCCTGGCCCCACAGTGTCCTGTTCACCCTCCTCTCCTAGCCTGGGCTGTCGTTCCCAACCTGAGAGCCGGTGTGAGCCTGGAGGCAGGCTCACTGGGACCAGGGGGCTCCCCAGAAAGCAGGAGAGAGGACTGGGATATGGCCTCATCTCTATCCTCAGACGTTGCTGAAAAGAACACTGTCTGCCAACCAGGTGTGGCAGTGCTTATATATAATCCTAGCACTCAGGAGGCTGAGGCAGGAAGAACACTGTGAGTTCAAAGCCAGCCTGCACTTCATAGTGAGACCCTTCGAAAAAACAAACAAAAAAGAACATCATTCTTCAAGTCTGTCTCAAGTACTTTCTTCATGCTGGTGGTTTAGCTGCTGCCTATTTAGCCAGGAGCAGATAGAAGGATGGCTCGTGTCCTCCTGCCACCTCCAGGGCATCTTCACGGCTACCTGCCCCATGCTGGCCCTGAGTGCGGGTGGGAGTCTGTTCCAGCCCCAAGTGCTTAGGGACCATTTTGCATTGAAAGGACACTGTTGAGGGTCCTGAGGGCCCAGGGAGAGGTGGAACTGTCTCAAGGCAGAGCCTGGGCTGTGGGGACTCTGACTCCTTGCAGGTGGACGAGGTCCTGAGTCCACAAGTGACCATGGCAGGCAGTTATCCAGCACCCCGAGGCCCCGGCCCCTCCGGGCTGTTTATCAGCCCCACAGCCATGGGGATTTATGTCCGCACCCCAGTGCTTTCCCCATTACTAATGACCCCTCTGTTTTGCCAAGAACAAAGAGGGCTTCAGAGGTAAGTTATGGCCCCATTGCCATCAATTTGTTCTCAGCTCTGCATGGCTAAACTGGGACTGAGGAATGACAAAGTTCTTTCCTTAAAGGACTTGGCACAGGCCCGGCTGCTCCCCAGCCTGTGCGTGCCCTGCCTTGCACTAGGGCCATCACTGCCTGCAGAGCCAGGCCGAATCAAGGGTCAGCAGGCTCCTGCCCCAAACTGCCAGCCCACACTGCTGACTGAGCAGATGCCCACTGGCCTCATTCCTCCCTTGTCAGACAGAAACAACCCTACTTCAAGGGGCAACTGTGCCCACCCTGTGCAGAGCGCTGGACCTGGAGTGCAGAATTGTCAGTTTGAGGCTCTGCCAGATGCTTGACCTCTTCCAGCCCTGTGGTCCTCATCCATGGAATGGGGTTACCAATCCCCAGAGTGGATGGATGGTGTTGGTGGACCTTAATGGCCATAGAACATTAGGGTTGATAAGTGTCAAGGAAAGATCAGGATCAGGGGTCCTTGGGACTCTGGAGCACAGAGCACAGGTACAAGAGCCGCTGTCCATAGTGGTGGTTCCCAGCCCTGCCAGCCACAGAGCACTTGAGGTGTGCTGTAAATAAAACACGTGGGACTTTGAGGACATAGGGTGCAGTAAAGACTGTAAAGGATCACATTAATGATGCTTTATCTGGGAACCCAAGAGCGTGGCTCAGCAGTCCAGCACACACACAGGCATACACAAGTACCTCAGTTCAATTCCTACCACTGCCCGAACAATAATAATAGTGTTTTAAATATTGATGATATTTGAAATGATCATGTTTAGGATATGCTGGGCTACATACAACCTAGTACCAAAACCAGTACTGTCCGTTTCTTTATTTGTTGTGGCCCCTAGAGGATTCAATATTACACATGGGCTCTCGGTCCATCTGTGAGCAGCCCTGCCACAGACCAGCTGTGACCTCGTAAGCATCCACTTTGTGCAAGGGTGAGGGAAGCCCAGCAAGCCCCTAGAAAAGCGCTGACTTTATAGCAAACGCTCCCCAAGTGCGTGGTTTCCTGTGTGCTGCAGGTGACTGAGGGGCTTCTTGGAGCCAGGAGCTGTGCCCATTTGCTCGGGTGGCAGGGCTCTCATACAGTGTAACTGTGGGGAGAAGGCGTGTTTCTCTTTTATTGTTCACTCTTGCTGTTTGCAGACACCATGAACTGCTGCTCCTCAGCCATGTTATTTTGCCTGGGAGCCAACTGAATATGGACTGAAATCTCCAACCTGTAAGAAATAAACTCCCCTTTCCCTAGCTTTAGGCATCAAGTGTTTTGTCTCAACAACAAGAGAGAAAAGTAATTAAGACATCTTTCTTTCTTTAAATTGTACATGTCAGATATTTCATCCCAGCAACAAAAATTAATACACAAAATGAAGCCTCAGGCCACTGGTCCCCCTCCCAGAGTGCCTGAGGCAGTAGATCTGATGGGCCAGGGGATCTGGGTGCCTAAGGGCTGCCAGGTGATACATTACTGCCATGGTCCAACTGCTCCCTAGGAGGAGTGACCAGGAGAGAAGGGCCTGTGTCCTGCTGGGACTTGAAGATGAGCAGCATCCGGAGCCTCATAGCTTTGGGACTGACAAGAAAAGCCTTCCACCTGGGCTCCTGCCCATCTGGGAGGACCTTGCTGTGAGTGTGACCATGGCCATAGTCAGCAGTAGGACTTCTGACAGCAGGTGTGTAGCTGCCTGCTAAGAGGTGGGGAAGAGGGAAAAAGCTGACATCAGTTGGAGACCAACTAGCTGACATCAGTTGGAAACTATACAGTGGGATAATTGACTTCTCTTCCGCTTTAGACAGATAAGACTGATAAATAAAAGTTAGTTATATTGAAGGAGTACAAAGTGGTGTTTGAACCTATGCACATATTGTCATATGGGTCATGCAACCAAGCTAACTAACACATGGACCACCTGACCTTGCTTCCAAGTTTGT